AGTCGAATCCGACTCTAGGGTTGCGGTGCTCATCTCCGTTTCAAAGCCGAAGAGCCAGCGCTGTCCGAAGACATTTCCGTGGTCATGTGGCCGGCATGACTAAACACCAAGGCGCACGGAACGCTGTTACCTTCCCACTGAAGTGGTACCTATTTATCTACTTGCAGTTTCTTGCTTTCAAACTGCTAGGTTGGCAGGAGCTGGAACTAGAGATGGGAGCTCACTCCATCATGCGGCACCCAGGTCTCAAACTGCTGAACTACTGAACTTCCACAGCCTGCAGTTCAGCGTCTTAACACCCTTTACCAAGCCACAAATACCAAAACAGGGGAGGCAGAAGCTGCCGCTCCCCCCTTTGCCCAGATGAACTTCTGCAACATCTGCTGAGAGTACAGATCAGATGGAATAATGTGGAAAGGGAGGACTCACTTCTGAACCTTTTATTTATTTACTTATTTCCCACATTTATATCCCACCTATCTTGTAAACGGGCTCAGGGCGGGTTACAGCATGTTAATAAATACAATAAAATTTAAAACAGATTATAAACATATTAAAATAGTAGTTGCAGCTTGCCGTTGGGAGATTCCGGCCCACTGATGTCACTGGATCTGGCTGGTTATCAGTGGGTGGGTGATAGCAACCTTGGGAAGGCCATATATGGACGTCCGCTGCCTCAGCCAAAGGCCTGGCAGAACAGCTTCATCTTGCAGGCCCTGCAGAATTGGGTAAGATCCCACAGGCCCTGATCTCAATGGGACCATGTTCCACCAGGTAGGGGCCAAGGCAGACAAAGCCCTGGCCCTGGTCGAGGCCAGGTGGACGTCCTTGGGCCAGGGATCACCAAGAGATGTTGACTGTCAGAGCGTAGCACTCTTCAGGACATATATGGGAAGAGGTGGTCCCTTAGGTATGTTGGTCCCAGGCCATATAAGGCTTTGAAGGTTATTACCAACACCTTGAAGCGGATCCGGTACTCAAAGCACATGCCAAACGTTCACCTGCACAGGCATCAATGTCAGCCAATGCACCACCACATTTTGCACCAGCTGTAATTTCTGGATCAGCTTTAGGGGTAAGCCTGCATAGAGCAAGCTGCAGTAATCAAGCCTGGAAGTGACCATTGCGTAGGTCACCGTAGCTAGGTCCTGGGGGGAGAGATAGGGCTTCAGTAGCCTGATCTGCCTAAGATGGAAAAATGCAGATCTGGAAACTAGAGCATCCTGGGCCTCCTTAGACAAGGAGGCATCCAGTGTTACTCCCAGGCTCCTCACTGACTGGGCCAGTACCAAAGGTGCCCCCTTCCAGTGTGGGAAGCCTGGTGCTCACCTCCATACACCCCCCCCGACCCAAGTACAGGACCTCTGTCTTCGATTAATTTAACTTCAACTGGCTCTGCCGCAACCATCCAGCCACAGTGTCCAAAGCCTCAGACAGATTTCCAGGGATGGAGGATGGATGGCCATCCATTAACAGATAGAGCTGAGCGTCATCAGCACACTGATGACAACCCAGCCCATACCTCCAGACTAACTGGGTGATGGGGCGCATATAGATGTTGAATAACATTGGCAAGAGGATCACCCCCTGCAGCCCTCCACATTCTAGTGGGTGTTGCAAGGAGACCCTCTCGCCTAGTGCCACCCTCTGTCCCCGACCATGGAGAAAGGAGGAAAACCATTTCAAGGCAGCCCCCTGAACGCCTGCATCGGCAAGGCAGTGGGTCAAAAGATTGTCGTCAACCATGTCAAACACTGCCATTAAGTCTAATAACAACAGCAGCGCTGACCCACCTCAATCCAGATGTCTACGGAGATCATCTGTAAGGGCGACCATAGCCGTCTCTGTCCCATGGCCAGGGTGGAAGCCGGACTGGAATGGGTCAAGGATGGAAGCATCATGGGTCAAGGATGGAAGCCTGGAGTTGTTTAGCCACCGCTCTCTCAACCACCTTTCCCAGGAATAGTAGATTCAATACTGGGCAGTAGTTGGTCAGGACCGTTGGGTCCAATTATGTTTTTTTCAGAAGTGGACGAACTACCACCTCCTTCAAAGCCTCTGGGAAAGTCCCAGTAGAAAGGCACAAGTTGATAATTTCTTCCAGAGGGGTCGGAATGCTCTCCCTGCAAGATTTCACTAGCCCAGAAGGGCATGGGTCAAGGAGGCAGGTGGTAGGCCTCACCACTGCCAGGATCTTGTCAACTTTCTCTTGGGTGAGCGATTGAAGTGGTCCAGTAGCAGACCAGAAGATGGACAAGGGGCTTCCAGTTCCTTTGCTGTCTCAATTGTGGCGGGGAGGTCCTGGTGGAGTGTCATGATCTTATCTGTGAAATAGCTCGCAAATGCCTCACAGCCAATGGCCAATTCCCTACTAATTGGTCTGCCCTGTGGCAGAGTTGTAATAGACCAAATAACTCTTAATAACTGGGCTGGGCACGAGCTCACAGACACAATGGAGGCTGCATAGAAATCCTTCTTCACAGCCTTCCCTGCAGTCTCATAGGCCTTCATAAACATCCTATAAGATGTTTGTGACACTTCGACACAAGCATGCCGTTACATTCACTCTAGCCATCTTAGCTCCTGCTTCTGCAGCTCCGTGGTATACCACGGTGCTGCTTTGGTGCAGGTGCGTAGAGGGCACCAGGGGCAATCTCGTCAATGGCTTTAGAGAGCCAGTTGTCACAGTCTTCACCAGTTCATCTAACAAGGTGCCAGGGGTATCGGATCCTGCAGAGCTTCCTAAAGCTGACTAGGGTCCATTTAATTCTGCGGGCAAGCATAAATGCACTTGCCGCCTAAACAGGGTGGGTATAGTATGCTCAGCTGGACCTTCAGGGCAAAGTGGTCAGACCATGGGACTACATCTGTAGCTATTAGATCCACATGTATCTCCATCCCAAAAATCAAATCCAGCGTGTGGCCCGCTTTGTGCGTGGGAGTTGATATAAACTGGGAGAGTCCCAGTGCCTCCATGGACGACACTAGGTCCCTGGCCTGGACAGACACTGCATCATCAGCATGAACATTGAAATCACCCAGGACCAAAAGCCTGGGATATTCCAATGCCCAGCCTGATACAGCATCTAACAGGTCAGACAGGGTATCTACCGGTGTGTTAAGCAGTCGGTACACTAGCCAGATAGCCAAACTCTCCTCGACATCACACGCTAGACCTACACATTCAATGCCAGAGATTGTTGGGGTGGGGAGCGACCTGAAGGAACAACATTCACAGATAAGCAAAGCCATGCCCCCCCACCCATACATCCGTGACTGGTGAAAGACCGAGAACCCAGGTGGGGTAAGCTGGTTCAAGGTAACAGTTTCACCATCCCTCACCCAGATCTCGGTCACACAAGCCAGATCTACCTGTGACTCCATGAGATAATCACAGAGCACATCGGTCTTATTATTGATAGACCTGGCATTGAATAACACCAGTGTCAGAGAATGGTAAATTTTCCTAGCCCCGCACCCAACATCCCTTGGGATGGGATATAAGTGGGAAGAAGTCCGAGCATATCCGTATCTCTGATTTCTTCCATTCCAATTAGAGGAAGAGCACCCACGTCCACCGCTATATTTCCTCCACCCATAATCACTGTATCCCTGACCCTTGCATGGCCCCCCTTCATTGGTGCTGTCAACCCCAATACTCTCCACCAACCAGCAGAGGCTATAACTATCCAAATTATGAAATCTACCCGGCTCATCACCGATCCTCTATTTAGACTAAGTACCCCGTTTACCCTCTCCAGCTATTTAATTTGCTATCAAGATTACACATCCTGTTACAGCATAACCAATTGGGTTGACTAATTAAACAATTACAATCAGCCGCATCAACTCTGATATAACGGTACCCACAGCTTGCGTCTTTCCTACTCCGGCCAAAAGCAGACCAGGACCAAATCATTACAGCAGCCTAGCACAAGGTTAAAAAATAAAATAATGTGACAGGTGCTGTATTTAAAACAGAACTTCTATTATAATACCTAGAGTCGCCACTCTTCCAGTGGGGTGCCACAGTCTTCCAGTGATTTTGCCCAATTTTGCTAAGAGAAGCTGCTGGTCAGTGGCGGAAAGGTGGAGGCTCCAGTTTACTGCATCTGATCAAGGACTGACACAGATGCTTCTGACAGGCCGGAAACACTGCTGCTGAAAGGTACCCCGCCACTTGGACTGACAGTACCCTGGCTCTCATGGCTCAGCAGCATTCACCGGCAGTGCAGTGCAGTGGACCTGTGGGTTCTTCCTATACATTACATTTTAAAGCATACAGTCTACTAAACCCCAAGTTTTTAAATAGTCATACCCCCTCCCCAAAGATACAAACTGGATCTCAGCTACGGAAGCTCTCATAAAACACATAAACACACATGAAGTTGGTTTATACTGAATCAGACCACTCGTCTTTCATTGGTGTCTACTCATGCTGGCAGCAGCTCACCAGGGTCTCAGGCTCTTTGCGCCATGTACAGCCTGAGACTTTTAGCTGAAGATGCCAGGAACTGAACATGGGACCTTCTGCATGCAGAGCAGATGCTCTACCACTGAGCCACAGCCCCTCCCCAAGAAACAGTAAGCCAAGCTAGAAGGTTTGTACCATCTTCCTTCACCTCAGACAAAAAATGTATTTTTCCCCAAGCCAGGAGCACCACCATTTGAATACACTGAAATGTACTCGGTCTGGAAGCCTGGACTGGAACTTCTTCCTCACAACCCACAACAGTTGTTTCCCAGACTCCCTGCTCTCAGGGCTCCCTTTCCACCCTCATTTGTCTGCAAAGGGACTTTGAAGCATCTGCTGTGAAACCTTCACCACATTGACAGAAGCCCTCTCAGTCCACTGAGGCAGCCCAGGGCAATGCGCCAAGCCCAGCTAAGCTGGTATCTGACAAACACCCAGCAGTCTCACTTTGCCCAAAAGAAACTTAAATGTTTGAGCTTTCATTTTTTACGTTGGGGGCCTAATTTATGGCGAGAGGGTTACTTACCTCCACTATGTGCGGATTAGGATTGAACCCACACAGGCTGCAGACTACAATTTGACACTGAGTGCAAGTGTTGCAATTGGCCTTGTCTGGAGGGTGCGACATCAGCTCAGTGGTACTGCAAAGAGGGCAGAAAGCTTTCTTTGGGGCCAATTCTGCAGGTAGGGATGCCTGTTGAGAGGGAACTGTTGGGTGCTGCTGGACAGCTACCCCGAGTCCAGGCTGCATCCCGGTGGGTTTTGGAGAGCCTTCTGGCTGTGGCCTGCCTGGCTGTTCTGACGGTGGTGCCGCGGGGCTGGCCATCTGGGGAAGCAGCTTTGTGAGACCTCCTGGATGTTGTGACAATGGTTTACTGGGCCCTGCTGCTTGAGGGGCAGCTTTTGAGGGTCCACCAGGTCGCTGAAATAATGATTTGCCTGGTGGCACGCCTTGCTGAAC